AAAAAAAAAAAGTGAAAGATGTAACATCCTTTTTTTTACTTAAGCGGGAGGAGTGTTATGATCTCTGGTATACACCAGATCATATATATCTTCTTTTCTTTCTCTCCTTGTGACTCATCTTCTTTTCCTTTTTCTTTTGGTATATATTAAGTTGTTGTTTTCTTTTTAACTCACGATTCAACGAATAAACATCTTAAAGAGAGGCAGTGCATATAACAGTGGAATACACATTTGCTGAAAAAAGCATTAAGAATTAAAATATATTTGCTCATTTGGTTGAATTTTTTCTCGTTTCATTTCTTCATATAAATTTAAAGTTTGTTTTGGTTCATTTCGCTTATTATACATATTCATCATTAATCCATATGTCATTTCATTTCGATTTAATTGAGGAAATACTTTTTTTGTACTTTCAATATCTGAGTATTTACTAAACATATTTAATATCGAATGAGCTAATTTTTCACTAAGTAATTTCCTATTTGATAATAATTTTAAATAGATTTGTTTACCTAATTTGAAACTTTTTTCATCACCTAATTCAGCACATGCATTAAAAAATATAATTAAATTTATATCATTTGGTTTATGAATTTGAAAAAATAAATCAATTGTTTTTTCTATTCGAAAATGTTATACAAAAACATAGATGATACTACATGTAAGAATCGATAATATATCTTATTTGGAACTTGATAATCTTTTCAATGCAATTGAATATCATAAAGATGAAGTATAATTGATTAATTTTTGTTTTAATATATATAAATTCTTCATAGATGTCATAATACCATTACCCCGGGTATCGACAGTCAGACGGCAGGATATCCTGATATTAGGTCAACGAAAGTAAATTAACATTCACTCCACATATTATACCAAGGAGTAATGACTTCATTACCCCACTAAAAAATACATTCATTATAGAAGTTGAGGAATATGAGTTGATTTGGTGTAACCACCTCGTTACCCCAACGATGTATATGTGAAAAAGCTGAGGAATATGAGTTGATTTGGAGTAACCAGCTCGTTACCCCAAGAAGAAGTATATGTGAAAAGCTGAGGAATATGAGTTGATTTGGTGTAAGCAGCTCGTTACCCCAACCACCCACAGCGACATCAGTAGCCACAGCAACAAGTGTGGGTGCTGGGAAAGCCAGGCCAGTGGGCAAAGCAACAAGTGTGGGTGCTCGGGAAGCCAGGCCGGTGGGCAAAGCAACAAGTGTGGGTGCTCGGAACGCCAGGCCAGTGGGCAAAGCAGCAAGTGTGGGTGCTCGGAACGCCAGGCCAGTGGGCAAAGCAGCAAGTGTGGGTGCTCGGAACGCCAGGCCAGTGGGCAACGCAACAAGTGTGGGTGCTCGGGAAGCCAGGCCTGTAGGCAACGAAACAATTGAAGGTGTTCAAAAGCGGTGCACCGGCCACAATATCTCGACAAAATGACTAACGAAAGGCAGATTTCAATCAATCCTATTTCATCTACAAAATCCAAATTAATTGCACCGAAGCGCCATATTCACTTTAGCTGCCGGAAAGATCAATAGCAACAATCTTTTTCACAGTTTATCTCTAACATAGCTGGTTATTCATGACAGTTTCGCGAAATAACCAAATCAATCTAAGAGACAATATCGTTATCCAAACGTTATTGCACCAAATCCACGCATATTCCTCGGCTTTTCACATATACATCCTTGGAGTAACGAGGTGGTTACACCAAATCAACTCATATTCCTCAGCTTTTCA